TATTCAATCCACCTATTAAAACAAGTGCCACCCTCCCCCATAATACCAGTGCCCCCTGAAAACAGCTGGGCCAATGCTACACCACTGTCTCTACCTCAAGTCAAACTATATGATCCTTAGGCAAATGAAAATGGTACAAAAGACTACATGATAACTCTGTCATTTCACCAAACTGACTCAAAATGAAACGATTCTTGGCAAATTTGTCTGTCTGTCATTGATTTCATCAGTGTGACTTGGGTATTATGCACCACCATTGCATGAGTCTAAGGAGATGATATATAGCCAAAGACTGGAGTGTTAAAATGTAACCAGGCTTGCTCTTATACAGAAAACAAGTTTGAGTCAAGGGTGCTATGTTAGGCCATTTACTTGACTTCTATTGTTGAGAAAATGGACTGCCCATTATCAGTGTTCAAACTTTGTAAGTTGTAATTCTGTAATATTCTGAGTGACAGACTTCAAACTTGTCAGTAACGTGGCTCACAAAGCAGCAATATGTAAACAGGTTCAGACTTTTGTAATTAAATTCCTAAAGCAGGTGGATGCAATTATTTGTGACTATCAGGCCTTTGATAGGAAAGGGGTCTGCATTTGTGAACTGCTTTATACATTTAAGTCAAACTTCATACTGTATACATGTATGGGTAGCGTTTCACAAAGCCGTCTTAAGTACAAGTTCGCTGACAACTTATTGAAATGTATTCAATTTAAAGCATGCAATGTGACTTGTATCAAATGTGTACATATATTGGTACTCTTGATTATCCAAAAATGTTGATTGATTAACTGGTCTAGACTTCAGTCATGGTACAATTAAATTTCACTAAGTGCTCGATCTCCATTTTTTTTCCAGCACTGATTAGGAAATTTGAAGTGTGTTGTAGCTATGGTCTGGTCTACCATAAAAAGCAATGAGAAACTGGAGTTGCTCATTCATTTTCAGTTTCTGTCTTCCGTTGTCACTTGGTTATCAACTGAAATCTATATTTCAGTTTAAAAGCATTAAATGACCTGAGGTAAATGTTCACATATGATGGTCTAGTACTTTAATAGGTGTTTCTATGTTTTGCTCTTGGTGAGCTCCACCCTGTATACCTGTATACTACATTCCCTGAGCAGTGGCATAGCTACAAAGGGACACAATGTATGTCTCCCAATCAAATGATGGAAAACAAGACAAAATGGAAGAGGAAAAAAGACATAAGTAAAGGGAGATGGAAAAGGGAGGTTAAAACAAAAATGATATTAATCCCTTAATTAATATCATCCCCTAAATCTGAGATCTTACAAATTCACATTCAAATCACCTATTAATACAGGTTCCGCCCTCCTCCAAAATAACAGTGACCCCTAAATTGGTGGACCAATGCTACACCACTGTCTCTACCTCAAGTCAAACTGTTTAATCCTTAGGCAAATGAAAATGCTACATAAAAGCTGTTATTAAATGCTATACCTCTGTCATTTCACAAAACTGACTCAAAACGAAACGATTCTAGGCAAATACGTCTGTCATTGGTCTATCATGAGTGTGACTGAGGTATACATGTTACATCAGCTTACTTCAAATCATCAAGTCCGGTTGGGTGGTCGCTTTACACGATCTTTTGTGAAACTAAAACAGAAGATCATCCAACCTTTCGTAGATTTGCCTTAGGGTTTTCACTAGGTGTCTGGCAAATTGGACCAGACTATTTGAAGATGAGAGTGGTTTATTTTGTAATCATATTACTCCTGACATTTCGTGAATAAAGGGGCATGTTTTCACAAAAGGTCTGGTAACGCTGCCACAATGACCCAATGATTAGAAGTAAGCATGTTACATTAACACTATGTTCTAAGGCAGTGTATGAGCCTGTGTACTATGAGCCTAAGGAAATGATAGCCAAAGACTCGAGTGTTAAAATGTAACCAGGCTTGCTATTTAAGAGAAAACAAGTTTGGATGAGGGGTGCTATGGTAGGCCATTTACTTGACTTTATTATTGAGAAAATGGACTGCCCGTTATCAGTGTTCAAACTTCGTAAATTGTGGTACATAAGTCTTACAATGAAAGATAAATAGCATCAATGTCTGAGCTGTACAGTCTTTATGATATATATGCACAACAGAATCTAAAAAGGCCAATATATGGATATAATTACTACTTGGCATATAATTTAGGCACCACAGTTTGGCAGAAATAAATGGTTTCACAATATGGCTGATGTCAGCACCACTTCATTGGGGAAATAGTCTGCATGGCAGATGTCAGCACCAGTGCACAGGATAAATGGGCCCCACTACGTGGCGGATATATGTACCACTCCGTAGCAAAAAGGGTACCACTATGTGGCGGATATATGTACCGTTACCTAGCAGATACATGCACAACTGCAAGGCTGATGAAAGTATAGCTGACAATGGGTCAGCCTATGTTGTGGATATAAGCACCACTACATAGCAGAAATAAGTCATTACAGACTGACTACAGGCATCACTGACATAGCAGATAAAAGGCTAATAGCATAGATACAATAGACTACAATGGTCTATCTTCAAACAAGGCTGTTTCAGCCCTAAACTATGCAATTAGGTTATAATTGTAACCTAATTAAAACCAAAATGATATTGGAGGACCACTCCATAGCAGACATGAGCCATATACAAGAAGCCATTAAAGAGTTGGAATTATAACATCATTCTAAACAAATTGAGAAAAAGAAACACCATATAGACTGTGCAAGCCTTTGACTGATTGATGCTCTGGTGCCATGAACCTTCCCGCTCATAAACTCAGCATGATTTAGAAATTATAATCTTTATAGTCTTTGTTATCATTTCCCAGGCTCATAGACATAGCAAAGTTATTGTTGGAACATGGGGATTAAAAGTTTAACTTCATATATACCAGTATCGATCATGAAAGGCATTTACATGAACTTGTAACATCAGTATTTTCAGTTATTTTTGTATGTTATGTATGTATTTTGTCTCTTTACATGTATGTTATGTATGTATTTTGTCTCTTTACGTGTATGTTTATATTGCATTACTTGTAACATTATATTAAAAAGTCTGTCAGCCTAACAAAATTCTCTCTAATGAGGTCATATGCTGACGATGGTGGTCCAGATTTAAATGCCGGCCATGCCAAAACACTTATTTGAAAAACTGATAGATTAGCTTTATATCTACCGTAAGTGAAAATAATAATGTGACAGTTCTGTAAGACAGCAATCTTAATTGTAAACACAAAGTGCTACATGTCCATACGAGAAATGTTAAATAAATGAAAAATGAAAATAAATTGCAGTGAAGACTGAATACAAAATAAGTGTCTTCATAATTGCTTTGCTTTGTTTTGTGTTTTGTTTTGTTGCTTTAATTGTTTCCCTATTTCAAATTTGGTGTGATGTTCTTACCTTCTTCTCCTCTGCTTTTCTCTCTGACATGTCCTTGGTAAATGTGCTTTTCTTGAACCACTTATTGGAGCTAGCTTGCAGTCCTCACATTGTCAGATGTTTCCTTGTGACATGAGCTGAACGGGGATGATGAGTCTGTTTGGCTGGTGGGCTTCTCTTGAATGTTGTTTGCTTGTGAGATGAGCTGAACGGGGATGATGAGTCTGTTTGGCTGGTGGGCTTCTCTTGAATGTTGTTTGCTTGTGAGATGAGCTGAACGGGATGATGAGTCTGTTTGGCTGGTGGGCTTCTCTTGAATGTTGTTTGCTTGTGAAATGAGCTGAACGGGGATGATGAGTCTGTTTGGCTGGCGGGCTTCTCTTGAATGTTGTTTGCTTGTGAGATGAGCTGAACGGGGATGATGAGTCTGTTTGGCTGGCGGGCTTCTCTTGAATGTTTGCTTGTGAGATGAGCTGAACGGGGATGATGAGTCTGTTTGGCTGGCGGGCTTCTCTTGAATGTTGTTTGCTTGTGACATGAGCTGAACGGGAATGATGAGTTTGTTTGGCTGGTGGGCTTCTCTTGAATGTTTGCTTGTGACATGAGCTGAACGGGGATGATAAGTCTGTTTGGCTGGCGGGCTTCTCTTGAATGTTGTTTGCTTGTGAGATGAGCTGAACGGGGATGATGAGTCTGTTTGGCTGGCGGGCTTCTCTTGAATGTTGTTTCCTTGTGAAATGAGCTGAACGGGGATGATGAGTCTGTTTGGCTGGCGGGCTTCTCTTGAATGTTGTTTGCTTGTGAGATGAGCTGAACGGGGATGATGAGTCTGTTTGGCTGGCGGGCTTCTCTTGAATGTTGTTTGCTTGTGAGATGAACTGAACAGGGATGATGAGTCTGTTTGGCTGGCGGGCTTCTCTTGAATGTTGTTTCCTTGTGAAATGAGCTGAACGGGGATGATGAGTCTGTTTGGCTGGCGGGCTTCTCTTGAATGTTGTTTGCTTGTGAGATGAGCTGAACGGGGATGATGAGTCTGTTTGGCTGGCGGGCTTCTCTTGAATGTTGTTTCCTTGTGAAATGAGCTGAACGGGGATGATGAGTCTGTTTGGCTGGTGGGCTTCTCTTGAATGTTGTTTCCTTGTGAAATGAGCTGAACGGGGATGATGAGTCTGTTTGGCTGGTGGGCTTCTCTTGAATGTTGTTTGCTTGTGAGATGAGCTGAACAGGGATGATGAGTCTGTTTGGCTGGCGGGCTTCTCTTGAATGTTGTTTCCTTGTGAAATGAGCTAAACGGGGATGATGAGTCTGTTTGGCTGGTGGGCTTCTCTTGAATGTTGTTTGCTTGTGAGATGAACTGAACAGGGATGATGAGTCTGTTTGGCTGGTGGGCTTCTCTTGAATGTTGTTTCCTTGTGAAATGAGCTGAACGGGGATGATGAGTCTGTTTGGCTGGTGGGCTTCTCTTGAATGTTGTTTGCTTGTGAGATGAGCTGAACGGGGATGATGAGTCTGTTTGGCTGGTGGGCTTCTCTTGAATGTTGTTTGCTTGTGAGATGAGCTGAACGGGGATGATGAGTCTGTTTGGCTGGCGGGCTTCTCTTGAATGTCGTTTGCTTGTGAGATGAGCTGAACAGGGATGATGAGTCTGTTTGGCTGGCAGGCTTCTCTTGAATGTTGTTTGCTTGTGAGATGAACTTCCTCAGTAAGGAGGAAGTGGTTATCTGCAAGTAGATGTCCAGGTAGATGAATAGACATCTTCAAATAAAATTGGTGGGTACCCATTGATGAAAGAGAGGTGGAGACAGTAAGAGAAAGATGGAGAAAGATGGAGCAAGGAAGAGAGAATGAGAGAGAGAGAGATAAAGATAGAGAGACAGACAAACAGAGAGAGGGAGAGGGAGAGAGAGAGAGAGAGGGGAGAGAGAGAGAGAGAGAGATAAAGATAGAGAGACAGACAAACAGAGAGAGGGAGAGAGAGAGATAAAGATAGAGAGACAGACAGAGAGAGGGAGAGAGAGAGAGATGGGTAATAGGGAGATGAATGACAGCCTATAATGATTATAAAAACTGTGACTTTGTAGGTCTTTATTTTGGTACATCCACCAGCCAAGCTAGCAAGCATGCACGTACGGGGGGGGGGGGGGGGGGGGGGGGGGGGGGGGGGGGGGGGTGTTTTTTGGGATAAATGCCCCCCCCCCCCTAAGAGAGAGAGAGAGAGAGAAATTCCTGGAATTTCAGCTGAACAAATTAAAATGTAAAAATAAAATTAAAAAATCACATTTTTAAAAGAATTAGCATTGATTGGATAAGAATTAGTTCCAAAGGATACCTGAATAATCCATTTAGCGTGGTTATTAGTATTAAAAAAAGAAAACAAAAATAAATTATTTAATGACGCAAAGTTATTCTGCGTTTGCACATACCGATGTGGGTTCAAAGCGCCATGAGCACCGAAAGGTGGACCTGTGCGCTATACAAGTAGCCACTATTATTATTATTATTAAGACTCTTCTCAAATAAGCACTTACCTTCGATAACGACGCACTTTCTCACCTAGCCTTCCTGCTATTCCTGAGGGACTCCTTCTATTCCTCAGCTATGCTTCAATAGGTCCCTCATATTCTACTTAATCTATATGAATTGAGAATCATTGAGATGTGGTTATTTATACTATAGTTGTATCGTATAATTTTTTATTTCATATGTATGTCTATATTTTCTGTAAAATGTGGACCAATAAAACTTGAAACTTGAAATGTCAAGAAGTGCAAACCATTGTATGTTGTCAATAATTAGATCATCGGAATATACTGAAGTTGTGCAAAATACAAACTTTCTTATTGGCAATGATTCTACTTCCATTTTATGCAATATACTTACAGTGTTGGGTGCAGTATTGAATAACATACTGCCTCGTAGCATCACGGCTACACTGCAGCCCTTTAAGGGTCAAAGCCTGACACCTCGGCCGCCTTCTGTTTACCATTTTGAGTATCCTAGTATGATGAAAATACATGTAAGATACAGTTAATACACTTAATATACTTACTCGAATGATCAAGAAAAAGGAATGATTAAAATATTTCAGTTATATTTCAGTAATCTGTTCACAATAATAACATGAAATATCAAAATACAAATATAAGTTATGGAATGCACATTATTATCAAAGTGTGCCTATACAAAAATCATATGATATCTTTCTAGTAAATGTAATATATGGAATTGCTCTTTAATAATTCTTTGAACAATTTTTAATTAGTTTGCTAAATGGTTGTTTGGTATATGTTCATTTTGTAATCACTGCATTGGTAATTCATATTCCTGTGATCTCTTGACTTATGCATCAAGAAATAATTGACACTCTGTTCCTAAAATCTAAATGATGTACATAAAAGAAACCAAATGAGGTGATAGTGCATTTGCAGCCAATATATTTCATGTCTGTGAAATTATTAAACTGATCATTCAGATTTCAAAATATGTATAAGCTGAAAAACTCTCTTGATAAGAAACATGGGTGGATAGTGATTCTTTACATTTTTGATATATTTGGATGCCTCTGTGGATGTATTATAAGCACTAGAAAATTTAGCCCCTAAAACATTTCCGCTTTCGAGAAAAATTCAATATCAAAATTACCGGTGCTCCCGGTAGATTTTGATGAATCTCAAATAGCGCCTACGGCCGTACAATGGTAGCTACGACCATGAAAATCTCAGAATATTTAGTTGTGATATAGTTTCCAAACGAAAATAGCTAATCAATCAATTTAGTCAAGAAACATTGTTTTATAGCTTAATTAATATCTTGACCATGAAAATCTCAGAATATGTAGTTGTGATATATAATTTCCAAACGGAAATAGCTAATCAATCGATTTTAGTCAAGAAACATTGTTTTATAGCTTAATTAATATCATGACCTTGAGAGGGAGCTATATAATAAACTTCCACCTTGTGCTGTTGATCATATGACATCATTTGACACCGCTCTCATTCGCTCTAAGTACAAAATTATTAAGTCAACTTATATTTCTTCTTCCCATACTTTTATTGATACATTTATATGACAAACTTTGCAAACGTTGTTGGTCCGTATTACTTGCTCTTATATTATACTTTTGTAATGTTTTTTTAATGGAAATGTTACATGTTGTTGTTGTTTCATTTTCTCATTCATGTATTGTGTTGAATTTCATATTTATATGCACAGGGCCCTAAAGGATAACAGTGACTAAGCCACCTTCGGTATGATAAAACAAAAACATATGAATAACTAATTTTTTTAAAGTAAATATTCAAAAAGATTTTCATGAAACTGTAATTACTTCATCAACTTGGGAAGTTTTCATCCTTATAACGCAAGCTGTGATGTAGGAAACAAAACCAAGTATTTTTTTATTTTTTTAGTAAATAATGTTTTACATTTTCAACTGTTCAAATATATATTATTAAGATTTAATCAACAAACACTAAATATGAATTCTACGATTTTCTGAAGAAAACAAATAATTCTGAAAATCTATCGCTTAAAATAGAATGGACCGTTCCCATGCCCTAAATTTATGTGATATGACCCCTTTTCTTCTAGTAAAGCAGGAGAATTCTTGTGACAACTTGCCACAACATGTTTAGGGTACAGATACGCTTATTCTCCTTGGATGTTGTTTGTAATAAAGCCTTAAAAAACAATCTTAACTTGTAGTTCTGAAATGTACATGAAGATTAGGGGATATATTCAACCAACAATTCCATACAATTTCCATCAAGATCTGTTGACTACTTTTAAAATCTTGTATCGCTGTTGAGAAACCCCCTATTGGGTTATATAGTTTTGTCCGACCCTATTGTTTGAGTACTCACTCTTCCGCCGTGTAAACATCTCGATTCTGGTAGCACACGCGGGAGAGGTGTCTCGTCTTCCACTTACACCTCTCCCCGGCCCTTGTCCTACACAGGCACCGGTGCGCTACCAGCGCCCACGGCCCCACGTTCACATTGACCTACGGCGGCAGGCGGTCCGTTGTCTTGTGGATACTCCATAATAGACTGCAAGGAGAAGAGAAAAACTGAGTGGTCATTTATTAATCTTATTAGGCCTGTACTGTTTTTATGAGATAATCATTGTAGCACACATTCTTAAATGAGCAAGTTCTAGATTTCTTTAATTGATATATGCTTGTAATGTTGTTCGGTTCCTCAATATAATGTTTACATTAAGATTACTACATACAGGCATTCCTTTTAGTCACAACATATTCAACTTTCTGAATTTTTTTCTTCATTGTTTGATGTGAATGCTCGGGCCATGCTCTAGGGCCATGCATCTCAGATTGAACGTTGTTAAACGATGCCTTTAATGCGATCTCACAAATCTTTAAACTTTTCTAGTCCGCCTCATGTAATGTCTGCAGCCCTAGTAAAATTATATTTGTTACGGGCCTGTGACCTATGTATGTAGGAAGGCCAGAGATGGCCTTTGAATGAGGAAATGTCTCTCCCCCCCCCCCTCCTTCATCGAGAAATCATCGATTATTTGACATAATCAAGAAGCAAAGAATGGGAGGGGCTCAGGGGGCTAAGTGAGGGTTTCTTAGCCCTTCACCTGCTTAATATATTGTAGGGTTGCAGTTCTAACAGATAATTCCTAGCACTCTTAACACAGAGGCAGCCCCAGCAGACATGTTGTAAGATTGATAACTAATGGCTAACTGACCAGGTTTTAATGTATAAAAACATTACTGCATTCTGTGTAGCATTCCACATACATTCCATGCAAAGTAGAAGAAACAAATTAATATTCATAAAGTCACATACAAGTATAAATCAACATCACAAAGTATCTTGAATATTCAAACATAAACAATAAACAAAGGGTATATATTAAATATTCATAGTATATGTAAATTATACTTTAAGCTTAACTGCATCAGGTGAACATTGAACCAATCAGAGAGAGAGAGAGAGAGATAGATGTATGAAAGGAAAGTGGATAAAAAGGGTGAATGTGAATGAGGGATAATGAAAGGGATGAATCATGGATATGAAGGGGAGTTTAAGAGTTCAAAATAAATCCCTACAAACTAGTCTTCCTATTACAAATAAAATGTCCTCATTTCATAATCTCAATCAAATGTCTTCATTATCGTCATTAATCATCCCATTCTATCTTTGTTACCAGCATCATCATAATATTAATTTGATCAAGATTATTATCATAACTTTCCTCATCATGATTAACTTCAACATTTTTGTCGTCACCATCATCATCATCATCATCATCATCATCAACATTCACCCTCTATATTCACATCAATTCATAAATCAATGAGCTAATTGAGGTTGGTATAGTGAGGGGAGGGTTGTTGATTCCTGTGCTGTTATCGACCGACGTTATCAACATGCACACGAATATCCTTCCCCAAAACTTGTTATGGCTTATGTTGTAAATTCTTTAAGTAAGTGTCCTTTTCCCTTTGGATATGGGCCCCCTTTTCTTCTCACCCTAAAATGTACTCTTAATTTAAAGCGACTAAGAGCATCTTTTTCTTTCATTTCACCCAAAGCTCGCTCACTACGCTTGCATTTTAAGTTATTATGATTTTGTTTCTTATATAAAGATCTTTTAAGTCTTTCATGATTAGGATTTTTCCTCCCTCTTTATAAGATGTAATTTTTCGCTTTGCGACTTCACAAATTAAAAAATTGAAATCTTAAATTAAATATTCAGACCATCAGACTCAACTGCAAAGTATGATGCTTAACCCTTACTGTACTGAGCTATTTTGAGCACCTCACTGACTGGGGGGGGGGCAAGGAGGCCCCCCCCCCCCCCCCCCCCCCCCACTATGATCTCGGCCATTGAATGTCCGAAGGACACAAAAATGTGCATGTTTGTAGATATTTACGTCAGGAACAAGATGGTATAATTAGTTTTTTCCTACTAAGCAAATTTTTGTCATCATAGCCTAATTACTTATGCAAAATGCTAATTTTATGCATTTTACAGAAAACATATTTGTCTGTAGACTTGTGAATAATCTTGAAAATGTATTGAATAAATGTTTCCTTCATCTCAAAATGTTTTTCTGAAGAAAAAAAGTTCGAAATTCATCATTTTATTTTCTTATGTATTTTATTGTTGTTTTATTTCTAATGTATTCTTTTGTTCGTGAATACATCAAGTTACTTTGAGAAACATATAAAAGCAATTTGATATCAATTCATATCTCCCACTTAGGAAGAAATACATCGTCCTAATCTAAACCTGTATTCACATTTCTGCTTGTACATGAATATATATGCAATTATAGCACTTTTTAATGACATGCGCATACTAATTGTTATGTAACACCTTACAGGTATATCCAATTTCAACGAAAATGGTATCAAAATGTGCGTAAGACTTGAGGGAAAAAAGTCATGAAACGACAATTCAAAATTCCAAGCGGTTGCGGCGCAATCTCCGAAAATGTCGAGACAGTAAGGGTTAAGCAGTATCTTGGACCATGTGCAGAGAAAAACAAACAATGAAATCATCCCTGATAATCTAATCACAATGTAGGGGTATCATATGGCCTAAAAATGTCTATAAATTGTATATTTTTGCTTTGAGGTTTCCCTTTGTGCGTGCCTCCCCCCCCCCCTTTTTTCCAGAAAGTGCCCTTTTTTGTTGGTGCCCTTCCCCCCCCCCCCCCCACTTTTAAAGTCGCTCTGCCAGGCTTTCGTCCATGGTGAGAGGTGATTGTTAAATCTTGAAGAACAAAACATGCAGGAAAACCTGAGGTTTTTTAAAGCTAGGATATCGAAATTCGAGACGTGAATGACCCCCTCCAACACCCTCTCCTGTTCAGTTCCTTCGCTATCTGCGGGGTCACATTAATGATGCCATCCAATTTCTAAACACCCCCCTTGAAAAATCCTGCGTACGCCACTGATCACTAGTATCATTATTATCAACTTACTGATTACTTCTAGGCTAGGTGTTAAAATTAAAACAATTATTCTCAGATTCTAATCGGGCGACTATACACACAAACAAATCAACGATTCTCTTTCAGTGGGGAAGGGGGAGGAGACAAGTGTGAAGCTTATAAAACCTTTGACAAGCAAATAAAAAGGTCATCACATTTCTACGCACCCCCAACTTGGACATTTCAAAGAGGAAAAAAAAAAAAAAAAAAAAAAAAAAAACCCAACGGACAAAACAAAATAATCGTAATTTTCTTGTAAAACACTATTTTTTTTTACAAACTGATACCAAATTCATCAATATTCTTATAATTTACCGGAAGTTTAGCTCAAAAAGTGATCGCGGGCAGATTTGGTGTCCGATACCCCTACCACAATGTACGGTGTAATGCGAAACTGCATGAAATGGAAAAACAAAATGGCGACTTCGGATGGATGCTTCGCGGCAGCTTCGTTCAATGGTCCCTTCCTTTACTTTTGCAATGCATTGGCACGAACTTAGATCAAGATCTATCGGTAAATGTTGGTTTAGCAATTTATTTTCGTATTCATGTCAACAATGCAAGATAAAACTGTCGGTAAGATGTGTTTAAATGTCCTGTACAATCTAGTTATTGTACCGTTAGTAGATCTAGTCCCATACGTGCAAATTCGTGCTGGTTTTGACTTTTTTTTTTTTACTCTTTCGTCGTAAAGGCCGCACCCCAACTTTTTGATATTTTCTCTTCCAAAAATACTGCGGCCTTTACGCCGGCAAATACGGTAGTACACTTGAAATTAGGGGCGCATTTGATGGTGAGAGGAAAAGATGACACTTATCAGAAAAAAGAAGCATGTGTCAAAGTACAAAGAGTAATTATCAGGGGTGAAAATGGGGCACTTCTTACACCTTTAAAATGCGGCGCTCACTAGGGATGAAAAAAGGCACCAAGATTAGGAAATGGGCATTTGCCAACAGAAAAGGGGCACCCATCAGATATTGATAGGGGCATTTATAAGAGGTGAAAAGGGGCATTTATGAAAAGGGGATAGGTCCCTTTTTAGAAAGGAAAAGGGGCATGTACCATTGTTAAAAGGGAAATTATCAGAGGTGAAAAGGGGCACTTATCGCACCTGAAAAGAGGAAATGACCAGATATGAAAAGGGGCCCTTATGAGAATAAAAAAGGGGCATAATAAAGGAAAATGTGCATTAGTTGAAAGAAAAGGGGCACCAATTAGATTTTATTACGGGGATTTATCAAAGGTAAAGGGGGCACTTAATCAAAGTGAAATGGACTCTGGAGTAACTTCTTGTACCTGAAAAAAGTCATTTACCAGAAATGAAAAGGGGCTTTTATGAGATGGGAAAGGGGCTCTTTTTTAATGGGGGCATTTATCAGGAAAAGGGGCACTTATTAGAAAGGAAAAGGGGCTCATGTGAAAATATAAGGTTTGCTTATCCGAGTTAAAAAGGGAGTAGTTATTAAAAGTGGAAGGGGCACTTTCTACGAAGGAAAAGGGGCATTTGTCAAAATAAAAAAGATACCTCTCAGATTTGAATAGGGCAATTATCAAAGGTGAAGGGGCACTTATCAGAGTGCTCTGTTTGTGTATATATATGTATGTTACATGTAGGTATGACAGAATGGCAGGGATTTTGCTGGGGGGGGGGGCAAATAACCATGCCAAGTCCTTCTATCAAATATTAAATTAGGGCCGCATGGAAGATCTAGGCCTACTCTTGATGCCATGGCCGTAAATCTGCAATTGATACCTATTGTTCAGGGGGGGGGGGTGATCTATTCATTCATCCCCCCCTGAACAATAGGTATTACGTAAGGATTTACGCCCATGCTTGATGCAAGGAAATGTAAATATTAATCACTATCAAAATAAAATATAAATATTTAAAAAATGAACAAATTATTTTTGGACTTGGTTTGTTAGTATTTGTCACTAAAACTTTGGGTTGCTAATCCAGGATCCCACCCTCTGTGCAACAAACGTGGCATGAAATATATGCGAAACCCTGAAGATGAAATATTTAATTAATATTCATCAATAAATAATAACTAATATAAATAAATAAAAATGAACAAATCATGTTTTTTAATTCTTTCAAAGTTTCAAACCAACCAATGGCAAAAAGAGCCGTTAGTAGGCCCCAACTTGTTTTTAAAGGCTGGCTGTACTAGTTCAGCCAGAAGGGATTAGACCACCAAGCAAGGTCACTGACAGGTGGCTACATAGCTCATTAAAAATTCAGCTCTCAATTAATAACATAAGAAAAAGAGGATCATGGTGGACCAACAGGCACCGATTGGGGAAGTTTTCTATATACTATAGAGGGAGCAAGTAGCTACAAGTATAGTGTGGCTTTAACAAAACTTTTGGTTCCTATCCGGCATTCGATTTAAACGTGTCTTCATGTACTGGAGCCAAAAGCTGCACGTACACCATCACCATCACCATCACCCTCCGGCCTCCTGCACACACAATCGCCTGCTGGTATCGCACACACTCAAGATCAAACACGAGTACATCACTTTTCACAATCGACTATATTGAAAATATTGATTGTTACCGTCATCCAACAATGCTTGTAAATGATGTAATTCCTCTCATCATGTCAGCATCCCAGTCATAACCTGAATCCACTTTGGAATCGTCTTTAACGTTCACGTGTTGTACCCCATTACTAATATTGGATGACAATGAATCTGGATATCTGGCCGGTTTGGTACCATAGGCCATCGGGAGACTATTCAGACTGGTCATCACGTGCTACGACTCCTCCCTACGCACGTACCCTCGAACAAACTTACTCCAGCAGCCGCAAGGCCACACCTTATCTCCCACCCATTTGGCCAATGAAACTTGATTGCGAGTTTCCCGTCACATTTTTTTCAGCTCATAGTGGGGCAACTGTTTAATTATTCATTATTCATTATTTCCTTTTTACGAACACTTAATTCACCTTTGTTGGTTAAACCTGTGTATTTCCAGTTTGTTAACTTAATTAATGCATGTATGAACATCGCATTATACACATTGTTAGCATATCTTGTTTATTTTTATTAATACAAACATATTGTAAAAATAAACCACACATATACATGCTATAAATCCAAATAGAACAGTACTATGTCCCATACTCCCATTTGCAGCCAACATCAAATTCTGTAGAACATTGCAGGAATTATGAATAATATATGATGTATATCCTATCTGTGAAATTTAACCGTTAGCAGTGTCTTATTATCCAAATTATGCAAGGAAACCCGTTTACTTTCTAGACTTCACAGTCAGGCACTATTGAGTGACTGACTGACTTTTTTCCCCTTTAGTAACAACATACTTTACATAAACTGAGCTGTAAAGGTACATGAGTATTAAAAAAACAATGCTTCATGGAATTTTCCCCCAAAAAACAAGTCTATTTGTAACAATAAAAATTGGCAATTCACAACGGTAATACACAAGTCGCTCCAACAAAAGTTTTTTTCTTCCCCCTTTTCCTTCCCTTACTTCGCTCTCTCTCTCTCTCTGATTTAAGTTTGCTGAGGGAGGCAGGGGCCTTTCGCCCCCTCCCCCCGATCCACACGATGTTGGTGCATGGGATTAATCGCAGCTGATCTCTGCCTCTTTTCACCCTTTTCTTTTCTTCTTCCTCTTTTGTGTTCCATTTTGGCTCTCCTCTTTCCCTTTCCATTCTTTCTCTCTCTTTTTTTGGCGGGGAGGGGGTGGGGTGGTCAGGGAGGGGGGGGAGGCAAAGGCCTTTCTCCGCGATCCACATCTTGTTTGCAGGAAAATTGCAACTGATATCCCTTCTTTTCTTTTCTTCTTTTGTTTCTTTCCCTTTCCTTCCTTCTCTCTTGTTTTGCGGGGGGGGGGGGGGAGGCAACAGCATGGGCGGCAAGGCCCTGTCGGACCCCTTTTTCTTTTCTTCTTCCTTTCCTCTTCTCTCTTCTTTCCCTTTCCCTTCTTTTCCTTCCTTCTCTCTCTCTCTCATTTTGTTTGCTGAGGGGCCAGGGGAGGGCAGGCGAAGGCCTTTCGCCCCCGATCCACACCGCGTTGGTTGGAAAAATCACAATTGATCTCCCGTACCTTTCTTTACTTTCCCTTCCCCTTCTCTTCTTTTCTCTCTCTTTTAAGTTTGCTGTAGAGGGGGGAGAGAAGGGCCATTTGCCCCCCCCCCCCCGATCCCCAACTTGTTGGCGGGAAAACTGCAACTGATATCCCCCTTCTTTTCTTTTCTTCCCTTTATCTCGTCTTTTCTCTTTTTTCTATCCCTTCTCTTCCTTCTCCCTTTCTTTTTGCCGGGGGGGGGGGGGGGGCAACAGCCTGGGAGGCAAAGCCCTTTCGCCTTTCGCCCCCCCCCCGATCTTCTTCTTTCCCCTTTTTCTTCTTCTGCTTCCTTTCCCTTTGTCTCTTCTTTCCCTTTCCCTTATTTTCCTTCCTTCTCTCTCTCTCTCTCTCTCTCTCTCTCTCTCTCTCTTTTGCTGAGGGGGGGGGGGGGGGGATGGCGAAGGCCTTTCGTCCCCGATCTCCTTTGTTCCCCCTTTTCTTTTCTTCTTCCTCTTCTTCCTTTCCCTTACTCTCCGCTTTACCTTCTCTCTCTCTCTCTCTCTTCATGTTTTGTTGGCGGTTGGGGGGTCAAGGCCCTCCCCCCCCCCCTTGATCCGCGCCGGGAAGACCTGTAGTGTCATCCCTGGCTAGCTGGCAAAGCTGAATATGGGTTATCCAGTCGTCCAGTCGGGGGGGGGGGGGGGTAAGCGGACACTTTTTTTTTCTTCTTCAAAATTTGACATTTTTCTTCGTTGGGGGGGGGGGGTAAGGCCACCTTTTTTTAGGTTAGCCGTGGGTATAATTTTTTGTTTTTGTTTTTTGTTTTTAATAATTAAATTAGGGGGGGGGTTTACACACATACAAATACCAAAGGGGGGTTTAAACCCCCCCCCCCCCCCCCCCCCCCCTGCGTACGCCCCTGATACAGACCGCCGTTGGCGTATTATCGTACCTTATTGCACGTGAGTTTTTTTTGTAGTGAGCTTTGGTGTACTGGATCAGACTGAATTTAAAAATTTGAATGTTTAATCGTTAAAGGTATATACGGAGTGCCCAACCACGTACATTATGGCTATACTCGAGAAGGCTCTAAGACTCGCATTACAAAGCAAACAACTTTATGGTAGTTTTTTGTAGTGTCGGCTCATCGTTGAGTGTAAATGATTATGAAAGTAGAAACGAAATTTGAAAAGGAAATTATAGATCAGCTTGATTTAAGTCAAGAAAGAGAAAGTGTATTAAATGAATTAGAGTAACGATAGGACTAGCATGGATATGGTGGTGATTAATGCGTGTTTATCACAAATCCCTGGTTATATTCGTCCTCTCTGTATAGGATACGCTGAAGAGCCACCATGATACATCAATCGATAAAAGAACTACTCAACTCAGTACAGTAGGTGGGCGAACTCACCACTTTCTGTTTTTTGTTCACCTTTAAAAATAGGCCTACTGCCACCCCCTCCCCACATACACACTTTCTCTCACCCCCCCCCCCTCTCTCTCTCTCTCTCTCTTTCTCACTCTTGCACACTCAGCTAAAACCCCTTCTTCCATTTCTATATTGTCACTAAATTTCAGCTTTCATCTCTGCATTTTAGATATTCCTCTCCTTTTCTATATTTCTCTCTCAGTCTTTCTCTTTCTCTTCCCCCACCCAGCCCCCCCCCCCTCTCTCTCTCTCTCTCTCTCTCTCTCTCTCCCATTAACGTTATGCTAGTCACTATCATGAATATGTCGGCTATGATTTCATCTCTGGTCATCACTTTCTTTGCATTCTGCAGTGGTGTCAACTATTAAATAGCCTACGATACAATCTTCTTCTAATTATAGCATGCGTCATTTTCTATTCCCAAGCATCATTACCAGTTAGCTCTCATTTCGTTCATGTTCCGATTGTCAGTTTGTCACGGTTCTGCTCCCCCCCCCCCGCTTCTCTCACTCTCTCCCCTCCCCTTCTCTCTCTCTCTCTCTCTTCCTCTCCCCTCTCTCTTTCTGTATCTCTTTCTCTCACCCACTTTCCCCCTCCCAGGCGCAGATCCAGAGGGACCTTGCCCCCCCCCCCCCCCGCCAAAAAATAACTTGAGAGAGAAAGAGAAAGAAAAGGAAGAAGAAAAGAAAAGGGGGAGGTGCCGAAAGGGCCTTGCCTCCCAGGCTGTTGACTCAGCCCCCCCCCCCCTCCCCCAAGCGAGAAAAAAAGGAAGGGAAGGGGGAGAAAAGAAAGAGGAAGAAGAAAAGAAAAGAAGGGGATATCCCTTGCGATTTTCCCGCCAAACAACGTGTGGTTCTTGCCTCCCCCCCCCCCCCCAGCAAACTTAAATTCAAATTCAAATTCAAATTTTATTATTTTCAATCCTAACCAATAGGATTTTTCTCAACTTTTTTTATACATTGGATAACGAATTTCAAAATTATAGTGTAACATAGATAATTTAGTGTCAGAGTAAAGATAACGATAACCAGGAAACTCTCTTCTAAGATATAATACAGGGATGAAAATAAATTAGAGAGAAGGAAGGGAAGGGAAAGGGAAAGAGGAGTGAAAGATAACAAAGGAGGAATAAGAAGGGTAGGGGAGATCAGTTGCGATTTTTCCCGCCAACAAAGTGTTGATGAGGGGGGGGGGGCGAAAGGCCCTTGTCCCCCCCCAGCAAACAACGAGAGAGAGATAGAAGGAAGGGAATGGGAAGGGAATGGGAAGGGAAAAGGAGAGAAAGTAAAGGAAATAAAGAGGAAGAATAAAAGAAGGGAAGATCAGTTGCGATTTTTATCGCTTCTTCTATCATCATTGTACAACTATCATTGTACAAATGCATTTATTTATTTATTATTTTATTCCTGTTTGATAACAATGATATAAATATATAAACTCACAACAGCAACAAAACTAAATACAGAAGAAAAATATTTTTCAGGCAGAAAGAAACACAAAATGAATGATCATACATTTGCATTAAAATTGTATCGTTAGAATTATTCATATTGTCTTGTGAAATTGAATTGAATTTGAATTAAATTTATTTATTCACGGTAAAACTCACATCAGCCTAAAAAAAACTGCTTTTCAGCAAGTCCGTGTAAAAAAACATAAAACAGATCATAAATACGTATACATAAATAAATATATAGGAAAAACTACTTAAATATGACATACATGTACTAAATAACAAGCTAGCGCATCAATTAAAAATAACAAGCATAAATATATATGATATAAAACGTTTCATATGCATCAATTAGGAAGAACAAAATTAAGTAAGAAGCTAATAAATGAATAAAACGGACATAGATATGTCTTATAAAAAGTGTGATTTTAAGCAAATAGGCATAGGCAGTAGCGTTTTTTTTTTGTTTTGTTTTTAAATGGGGGGGGGGGTCATAAAAATTCACACACATAAAGAAATTGAGGGGGGGGTTCAACTGATACAGTAAACAACCAGTCTTTTTCATTCTGGTTCTTAATGGTATAATACACAACTTGTAATCATATTATAGTTATCATATTACAGGTCAATAAAGTCTACTTTGAGAAACTTAATACCGAGCTCGACATCTTTATTGTATCACGTACGACACTGTTTTCACACAAAAATATTGAGGCTGATCCTAT